ATGTGCTTGGAAAAAATATGATCAGAATATCAACTTGCATAATAATTATGCATGCACTGTATTTTTCCTCTTCTGCTGTCGAGGTAATGCAAGGAATGTTGTGATTGGTTGTCAAGGCAGGCCAATCAGAATTTAGCAGCCTCGTCTCTGATTGGCTGGAATTATGGCATATTGTAACGCTGGGTTGTGTTGAGCAAGCGAGCTGTTGGCATTTAGAGAGCACTGAGGGCGGGCATCAAGGGAACAAGCTAGTGAAACGTTGCACGCGCAAAAGAGAAGGTCTGCACACATCCAAAAACTTATTTTAAATGCAAAATTGATTTTCGTGCGCTCGAAATACTTTCTTCTTTGCGAGACAAACATTTTCTCCACAAAACTCAGTTTGCGCGTGTGCAAAACGCACTTTTGCGCGCTCAAAATATGATCTTTCGCGCGCAGAATTGTGGCAGAGATGTAATCCCATAAACATCGGGCCTTCTCTAAATAAAGCAGATTGATGAGGTCTATGAACACAATGCCTCCCATGGTACAACCAGCCATTTGTGTGTATGTGCATTTCATTGTCACATTACTCGTCTCTGTAGACCTGAACTCAAGTCCAAATCCCCACTGGATTTGTGTCTCGTATTTTCACTACATAAAGTCCAACGTGAGGCCTGAACAAAGGGCGTTTAAAAAAGACATTTTCAAGTCATTCTCACCAGGGTTATTAAAGAGAACTAAAACTAAAACCATCAAAAATTATTTACTTGAAATAGACATTAACTGAAAAAAATATTATGAAAAAATTATTTCAGTTTGCCAAGGCAACATTCTCAATTTAATTGAGTTTAACTGTATGTATGTATTAAAATAACTAAAACTGATATAAAAAATAATAAAAACCATACAGACAAAACTACAAAAATATGCAGAAATGACTAAAACATGAACTTCATCATCTGAATGATGGAACCACTGATGCCAATAAAGAACCTTAATTTTTAAGGGTGATACTAAAATAACACTGGTTCTCATCGAAAGACATGGGTCGAAAGACAATGTCCATATCAATGAAACATCCACAAGCCAGATGCAAAGGAAGAGGAGAAAGATCAATATTAATCATTTGACAGTGTCGCTTTGAGGAGATGGGCAGTGGAATGACACATCTCTGGTGTTTTCCAGTATAGTACCAAAATTCTGGTGTTAAAACTTAAACAGCGCCAAAGCCCAGCCTGGCTGACCATAGTCTAAAATTGATTTTTGGAAAAGAAAGAAAGAACAAAAGACAGAGAGACGAGTGTACTGCCTAGGGAAAATAATCTGACTTCAAAAACAGCAGCACTCAAAGAAACGCTTGGCTAAAGAAGAAAACACAGATATTACCAAGAGGCCTGATAATCAGTGGGATAATGAGCACTGAATTGCATTTACAGGGATCTTTTTGCAGCACTGAAATGTACGGCACTGTTCTGATTAACGAATGCAGCTCCATGGGAGAAGACACAGTACATGTACATATTAACAGTATAGCAGGCCAAGCAAGACATGCATTCATTGAACACATTCTCTGGCCCTGATTTAAATAAAGGGTGTAAATTTGCTTGCGGAATCTGATATACTGCAACATGCTACATGGGTGTAGTGTGGATGATTAACTAACAAGAACTGTATGCATAGGTCAGACATGTCCATATTTAAAGTAAAACTCAAAAGAACATTGAAGAAGTATTGAAGAGCTTGTATATGTGAATGAGGGGAGTGAGGGGAGTGAGGGAAAGAACACTTTTAGATCAGCATTCACACTGCACAGTGACATAAAGAGAATAGAAAATGCTAACCACTTTGTCCTCCTTCTTCTCCAGCGCCACAGAGAGAAACAGGATGGTGGGTGGTGGAGAAGAACAAGAGAGAAGTATGAAATGACAATCAGATATGAAAACAAAAAACATTTAGATGCATACTAGAATAATAAACACAAAAACAGCTTTACACTTACACATTAGCAGCATCAAAAGGTGTCAAAATACAAACTGCATTTTCCAGTTGCAAAACAAAAATGTCTTGGAATGTTTTACATTATATATTGTGGATTTATTCACTTTTTCCTTGCTATTATTTCAGGACAGATCATGAACTGTGTGGTAGTGTAAATTTGCAGGTATGTTGCCACCCACAGGGCAAACCTGAGAGGTGCAGGTTGCACTAATATTTACTCTAAGATTTCCCATGAAAAATTCCCAGTGGAAATAAAGGTAGTGCATGGGTCACTGAAAACGACATGACATTCCGTGTAGTAGGTCCTACTGCTTCAGATCCACCATAGTAAGAATACTCATAGACACTACTGCTACTGTATAACTACAAAACACCTGCACACTGATAAACAAATCCACACTAAAGGCAGGTGTAAAAACTGTACCATTTTTCATTCCTTAATATAATTAAATATTCATACAGTGAACATGAACATGAGGTCATTTTGATAGAATGTTCACAATATAGCTAAATGTCTCTTCCTGTCTCTCTGTATGGAATCTTCATTAAATGGCAGCCCAACACCTAGGCAGCCAGTTAATGAAGTTAATGACGAATCCATCACACTGCAGGACAAGTAATTTTGAACACTTATCCATTGGAGGCTCAGCATACATATCAACTGGGATGGAGGAAGAGGATTATTTAAGTTCAAATTTCATGCAAATTAGGGGTAAAAAAAAACATAATTTTGCAGCCAACTGTCGTGTTTAATTGCGGTTTCAATTGTGGCTAGTTTGTGGCTGGGAGTTTATTACATTTCTTTAAAAAATACTTTGGGTATTTGGAAATAAACTTAGCATTATTCTCACCAAGGCTATATGTGACCCTGGACCACAAAACCAGTCATAAGGGTCAATAAATAAGCTTTCCATTGATGTATGGTTTGTTATGATAGGACAATATTTGGCCGAGATACAACTATTTGAAAATCTGTAATCTGAGGGTGCAAAAAAATCAAAATATTGAGAAAATCGCCTTTAAATTTGTCCAAATGAAGTTCTTAGCAATGCATATTACTAATCAAAAATTAAGTTTTGATATATTTACAGTAGGAAATTTACAAAATATCTTCATGGAACATGATCTTTACTTAATGTCCTAATGATTTTTGGCATTAAAAAAAATCAATAATTTTGACCCATACAATGTATTTTTGGCTATTGCTACAAATGTACCCCAGCGACTTAAGATTGGTTTTGTGCTCCAGGGTCACATATTTATTTCATCAAAAATAAAGTAAAATTAGTAATATTGTGGAATATTATTACAAATGAAAATAACAGTTTTCTGTTTAAATATATTTAAAAATGTATTCCTGTGATGACAAAGTCTCACAAGATCCTTCAGAAATCATTCTTATATTCTGATTTGGTGCTCATTAAACATTTCTTATTATTGTCAATGTTGAAAACAGTTGTGCTGCTTAATATTTTTGTGGAAACCATGATACATTTTTTCAGGATTCTTTGATGAACAGAAAATTCAAAAGAGCGGCATTTATTTGAATTTCTTTTCATAACAATGTAAAAGGTTTTACTGTCACTGATGAATTTAATGCATACTTGCTGAATAAAAGTATGAATTTCTTTATTAAAATTTTTTAAAAGTATTTAAAAATCTTAGTGATCCCAAACTTGTGAACAGTAGTGTGTAATGACTTTACTGACTGTGTATTGACTGTGCAATCCAGGACTGCCAGTGCCAACGATTTTCGTAACAGGTTTATTTAACTTTTTTGAGTCTATTCACTCTGGACCCGCTCAGGCTACTCATAGCAATGGAGCTATTAAGTGTATTTCATCGCTTTTAGCTACCGTTTCCAGTCCACCAGATTAAGTAGGTGTAGCTCTCTATGTTTAACCTACAGGCATCTAGCGACTCCATTATCAAGACTGCTCAGTAATAGCACACGCCAAAGGGCTCAGTGAAACAACATGCGCTCATTTCAGCGAAACTAACCTCAGGGCAGCACCCATCCGCTACCAACGGAGACTTCACTTCCATGGCATCACATATGGGATTTCTGCTACCTCCTCAGACACAGACAAGAGCACCTGAACACCTTTCCACACTCAACACTGGGCCTATCTGAGCTTTCTCACATCCACTAAACCAAAGTTAAACCTCACGAAGTGCCAAATGTAAGTAAAAATCAGATTTGGGAGTTACATCAGGAGTTACATTTCAATACAAAAGCAACAAACAGACCCTAGCTGACACAAATTAAATGATCTCCTCAGTAGAAAATGCACTTATTAGTAATATGTAATGTAATGAAATTAAATTCTGGCTGATACCAATAAGCAGATAATTGTTTTAAGCCAATAACCAATAAATTGTAGATACATAAGAATTCTACATTATTTTGTCTAAATAAATGAAAAATTAAACACTTCTATAATTAACTATAATTAAGCATTTTAATGTTCCAACTAAATTTAGGTATCACAACATTATAATGTGCAATTAAAAATATGGTCAATTCAGTATAATGGACAGAAAAGTTGCCCAATTTACCCGAGGTCACACTAGATATTTATTTTGACATTTGCTAAAGACTTTATTTAACAGTTTTATTAAATTATTCAAATTAATAATTTTTCAAGATTATGCGAGCATTTGGATGACGACAGAAGTAATTTAAATGAAAAATAGGGGAAATGAGCATGTACAATTAAATATTCAATTTCGAAAACTACCAATAAACTATAACATTTCTAATATTGATAACCGATATTGTGTATACCTAATTTAAAAAATAAATAAATAACATTAATATTATTTATAAGTCACTGTATGGCTAAAAATTATATATCATTAATTTTTCATACGCAAAATAATAAATACTTTTTATTAATTTATTTAAAAAAAAGAAATACAAAAAAAAATGCCTGGTAGGAAATATTGACCACCAATAAAATTTCTCAATTCCCTTTTTCAACTTCACTTGTGTTTGTGTAGACAATAGTTACGCCACAAATGGCCAGGCTTCATTGTGTAGCTATAAAAAATTTACATATTTACTGCAAATGTCCAGATGGATACATCCATAACTAAATCAATTATTAATTACATTTAGCCTTATCTCCACCTCACTGACCTCACTCCCTACTCTACTACCTCTGTCGGTGAGCTAATGCTCTCCTGTTGAGTCCCTACACTTCACTCATTATGAGTGAACACTAATTAGCGCTCCGGACTCAGTGGAAGGAATAGAAAGCGAAGGTAAATATCACACTCCAGGAGGTGGGCCACCATTTCAGGTGCTTCCCTTTGCGTGGTACGGCTGCCCCCGTGGAGACTCAGTGCTGACTTGGGCATCCCAGCATGGGTGTGCGGCGACCCCCCAGTGACCAGCAGCAGCATCTCCTCTGACTAATGCCCAATTAACCTTTCTCTCATCCACCCAGTGCTCTTCTCTCCCTGCTCCTGCTTAAGTGTGTGCAGATGCAGGTCGAGGAAGCATGCAAAACAGTCTGGCCACTCACACGATGTAGGTGGTACTCACGTTATTGGAACACAGAGAGACCCTTCCCCCGCACCGGGCACAGAACTTAGTCTGGCAGTAGGAGCACAGGTTTCCGCAGCCATCAGCAAACTTGGTCTTGTGGCAGATGCCACAGGTGGGGGCATCATCCTTGTGTTGGCCCTGCTGCCTCTGTTGGGGGGGCTCCGGCCCAATGTGTGCAGATGCAGGTCGAGGAAGCATGAAAAACAGTCTGGCCACTCACACGATGTAGGTGGTACTCACGTTATTGGAACACAGAGAGACCCTTCCCCCGCACCGGGCACAGAACTTAGTCTGGCAGTAGGAGCACAGGTTTCCGCAGCCATCAGCAAACTTGGTCTTGTGGCGGATGCCACAGGTGGGGGCATCATCCTTGTGTTGGCCCTGCTGCCTCTGTTGGGGGGGCTCCGGCCCAATTCGCCTCACCTGCTCCTTGTAGTTGGCAAACTGCTGGTGCAACCTGGGAGGAGAGAAGAGATGGAGAAAAAGAAAGGGGACATGAAAAACTCAAGTTCTAGTAGCCAATGTAACATTTTTACCAAAGTAAATTTAACATTTCAACCCAATAATTCTTCAATTTTAACATGTTACCAGCAAATGTATCATTTTAACCCAATAATAATAGTAATAATACTCCCTCAAATTAATAATTTTTCTTTTTAAAGTAAATTTCACAGTTTTTACCCAATAACCCTCAACTTTTACCAGCAAATTTAACTTTTTAACCTAATAATCCCTCAATTTTAACATTTAACACACAAATTTTATGAGCACATTTAACATTTTTATGTAACAACCCCACGTTTGACATTTTACCAGCAAATGTAACATATCTGAAATTGAAACTTGATACCCTGATAACCTAATTTGACTTTTTTTTCCTAATAATGCCCTATATTTATTCAGATTGTCAATATGTTTTTTCTGATTGTTAAACTCTTATATTTGTCCCACAACTCAACATTTGGTTACATTGCTGGTAATGTTAAAACTGACCAATTTCCACAGTAAGTTCAATGGTTGATCTTTTTTCTCCGAAATTCACTTTACAGAACAGAACCAAACACACACACATACATATATGTATGTATGTATGTATTTGTATATATATATATATATATATATATATACAGCCCTGACTGACCATGTCCACATGGCGAAATACCAACTCCAACTTTAAGGTATGTGTTTACTAGAAGTGTATGTAGTAAGCGCTTAGTTCTTCTGAAGCTAATGAAGTAATTGAAGACAATATCATGATATTTCAAAAGATAGAGATACAAAAAAGTATGGTGAAACATCTATACCATTTCACAAACTGCATGTATATGGAAAATAAACCACCAAAACCACATTTGCTTTTTCCCACTCCAGCTCTCTCTCTCAATCTTTCTTTCAGTCTAATGTTCTTTCCACCATGTAGGGTCATCTCAGACATTCACACGAATGATGCTTAAAGACTGCATGAATGCCTTCCAAAAGAGTTAATCCAAACAAAACAGTGACTAATAAACAAAATTAAGATCTTTCTTCACTGACATGACACGCATACAACACATATCCAGCATTTTCCCTGTCTAAACAGCACTGAGGTCTCAAGCATGAATCTATCCAGAGCTTTACTTACGCTAAAGGGGTCTTCCTCACAGACTCCTCCGCCATGACGATATCATATGACGTATATTAAAATAAGGAACCTACATAGAGAGTTAAAATAATATGCTACCTACGGAATGTAATGAATGCGCATCCATCCATGCAGAGCGTGCTCCAGAGAAAGACAACGAGATGATCTGAACACCTGCCCCCCAGTTCTAACCCCGGTCTCCCTCCCCCTGTGCACCCCTACCACTCTCCTGTTCCTCAACTCCATCACCAGTGAACAACCTGTGGGTCAAAGATAAACATAAAGGGCAAGCTCCAACACAGGAGCAACAAGGTGACTGCAAGATGTTCCAATTAGAAAACTAAATCAGTTGCTTTTTCGCAGCCAGTGAGACTCAAGAGTTCAATACAATGTAATACAAGACATTTATTAGAGGGGCAGTTTGAATTTGGGAATACAGAATGAAACAGCAAATGCCAACGTTGTGCATAACTTTTTTTGTATTAAAAGAAGAAATATACAATTACATAATATACAAAAAGTGCAAGAACAAAGAACTATGTATCTAAAAATTTACAAATATGTCAAATTAATACAGCTATCATTTAAGGTTGTAATATTCACCTTAACTGAGATACTGTCAGATATTTTTAATTTATTTGAATAATATTAGATTAATATTTTATCTGGTTTAGATAGATTATCATTTAAGAATGCAATTTGTCTCAGATGCCTCTCCTAAAATATTAATCCCTCCATCCATTTATCTCAAGGGATATTTTTTAATGGCATGATCAAAAAACAAACAAAAAAAAAAACAATAGATACAAAAAATTGACAAATAATAGGTGTCTAACAATATTTCAATAAAAACTATATACAATTACTCAATTTCATGTGCCTAAACTAGAAAAAATAAAGAGAGACACAACATTTGACAAGAAATGTTTGAATTTATACTGAAACTTCTGATTTTTGATTATAGACTAATGGCAAAAAGCACAGTTTGATACAACATTGAGGTCTCTTCTGAAGCTCTAAAATTTCTCATTGCTGGTTAGAGAAACAAATGAGATATTAAAGAGGTTTTTTTTTGTCATTTTTCTTTGCTAAAGGTACAGTATAACTGGAAAAAGCTATTATAATTCCGAAAGGCTTGAAACAGGATGCAAATTGCAATCATAGGATGCAAAAGCAGGATTGGAGGATTGCACTCTTCTCATCTCAATATTAAGATGCAACATTCACCTTTCAAACTTTCAGAACACAATGACCTGTAGTTACAGTAGCTATAATGAACAATGGAGCACAAAGTCAACGCTGAGATGAAATTGACCAGCACTAGACGACAAAAACCATTCAGCACTTTATGAAAAACATGAGAAACAGAGACAAACATTGAGCTTGGCACTGTAAAAGAACATATGAAATTGCTTTGTGCTCTGAGCACGCACTAGACGACAAAAACCATTCAGCACTTTATGAAAAACATGAGAAACAGAGACAAACATTGAGTTTGGCACTGTAAAAGAACATATGAAATTGCTTTGTGCTCTGAGCAGGAAATGATATTCAGGAAAGCAGCCCAGGCTTGCCATAATTAAGACAGCACATAAAACAAAGACCCATAAGTGAAGCACAAGGTTATACGAAAGTGAAGCACAGCTTTACTTTGCTAGCACAAACCCCTCTTCCCCATCACAAATCATTTGCTTCTTTCTCTCTCTCTCTTCCTCTCATCCAGGAATAGAAGTAAACCTTGTGTGAAATGCAAATCAGGCACAGAGTCTGCAAGAAACGGTGAGCAATTCACACAGGTCTCCGGCATTAGCATAGAACTTGGTGTAATTAAGGTATGAGGAAGCTCTAATTAACGTGGTAAAGTGTGGGGACACGGAGGAGAGCCGGCGTGGAGATGCGTGAGGTGGGACGTGTTTTTATGCCGTTCTCCCCTACTTCATGACAGCTGGTCTCAGTGGCTGCTGATGTCATCGGGTGAGCACATGGAAACGTCCATGATTAAACAGCTGTCAGCAGTCGCTCGTACTAACACACACCATGACAGGAGCCACAACTGTAACTCATTGGCTGTGCGCAGCGTTCCTGTGGAGGCTTTGGTGGGGCCTACACGCTGGCCCATTTATCATGTCCGCTAGGCCCCACGGCTCCCTACATGGGCATAAATCCACCCTATCTGTGCCAGGATGTTGTATGAAAGGACAGATGAGGGACAGAGATGTAGTGAAAGTACTGCTTAGGTTGAGTCAGTGTAAATTCAACATCATTCACAGCGAATGCCGGGACAAACGTGCGTTTATGAGGGTACAGTGCAAGTTGGCAGCCTGTGATGGAGCCATAAATGAAGCTCACAGACACTAGCAGCTCCATTCATCCTCTAACACAAGAGGACAAATCTGAACACCACTCACAGGACATTTGTGCTGTGTTCAACAGGAAAAACAGCTTGAATACACTAAATAAACATGTCAATAAAGAAGTTGACATTTTATATATACAGTCATGGTCAAAAGGTTTGGCAGTGACATACATTTTATGTTTTGCATGTTTGCTGCTTAAGCTGTTGTGGTGTTCATTCACATTGTTTCTAGATTATTGTGTAGAGTGATCAGATGCATTTTAAATAATTGCTAAAAGCTTCATTAGCCAAAAAATGAACTTTTCACAAAAAAACTAATTTCACTGTTTTTTTTTTATCCTGACACAAAATGACCAGCTAACATTAATTGACTAATCATATCAGCAGCACATGAGAAAGTGTGAATGAGTACTAGTCAGGTGAAATCACTATCATACTAGAGCAGACTGATTGCAATAAAAGGAGGAAAGAAGCGCTTCCAGTCATTGTGTTCTTTTTAGTAATGGTTACCTCCAAAGAAACACGTGCAGCCATCGTCGCTTTGCATCAAAATGGCCTCACATGCAAGGAAATTGCTACAAAGAATCTTGCACCTGAAAGAACCATTGCACCTGAAAGATCAGAGGGAGAGAGGTTCGACTGCAGTGAAGAAGTCTTCAGGACGTCCCAGAGTGTCCAGCAAGCGCCAGGACCATCTCCTCCTGAGGAGTCAGCTACGGAATCGTGTCATCAGCAGTGCAGAGCTTGCTCAGGAATAGCAGCAGGTTGGTGTGAGGATCGCCATCAGTCAGGATTTGGCCCAGAACCTAATATCCAGCATGCCAGAGCAAATTGCATTGATAATGAAGAACAAGGGTCAACACTGTGAATATTGACTCATATATTTTGCCAATAAAACCCTTTAAAACTTATGATATGCTTATCATTGTTTTTCAGTATACCATAGAAACATGTGGGAAAATAATCTACAAATACTGAAGCAGCAAACTTTGCAAAACACAAAATTTGTCACTGCCAAAACTTTTGGCCATGACATACTGTACACTACCGTTCATTTGTTTTTTTGTTTTTTTTAGTTTTTGAAAGAAGTCTCTTATGCTTACCAAGGCTGCATTTATTTGATCAAAAATACAGTAAAAACAGTAATATTGTAAATATTTCAATTTAACTATTTTCTATTTATATATATTTTATTTTAAAAAGCTGCATTTTCAGCATCATTACTCCAGTCTTCAGTGTCACATGATCCTTCAGAAATCATTCTAATATGCTGATTTGATGCTCAAGAAACATCTCTTATCAATTTGTAAACAAGTTGTCCTGCTTAATATTTTTGTGGAAACCTTTAAGAAATCTTTTACAGATATTTGTAAAGCTTCTATAAACATTTTCATAAATAATTATATATAATGTAATATTTTATATATTGAATAATATATATTATTCAATATATTAAATATTACATTTATATAAAAGT